TTTTTTTTTTTTTTTTTTTTTTTTTTTTTTTTTTTTTTTTTTTTTTTTTTTTACACTACTGTGTAGTGGCTGATTTTTCATTTTTATCTTTAGTTCATGACTCATCCCATCATTTCTTCATACCGGATTTACTCCTACAGCTTTAACTGCCAGACGAAATTTTGTCTACTGCGCCCCTTCTGGGGTGCAGTAAAAATAATAATAATAATAATAAATAATATGAATATACATTTTGTGTAAAATGGGTAAACTTTAAATTAAAGAAAAACTGGTCCAAATTATTTGAATTTATGCGTAAAATGAGCCTACGCTGATATTGTCCCGCACTGGTTGAAAATCCTGGCTTGGGCACTGGCAGTAGACACAATAAAAACGAACGAATGAGTATGGAAAACCTGAAAATATTGTTAATGTATGTATAAATGAAGCTGAACCAACTAATAACGGACTGATTTCCTATCAGATCCTTGATTAATAATAAGTGGTAATATATGCCTACCAACTGATTTTTATTTTAAATTATTCTATTTACTAACACGGCTACATAACAGTGTATGTTTTTGTTAACATGTTTTCACATGTTAACGATCTGAACTTTTTGTATCATATATCATAATCTGAAATTCAAATAGAATAACAACAATTGGCCTACTTACAATAAGGCAAAGCATTTTATGAAAAAAAAATTAATCCTATAGCCATAACCATACCACACATAGAACAAGACTGTCTACGCTTCCAACCCTCTGATTGGCTGGCCATCGACTTGTTGTGATTGGTTGACTCTTTTCGGTTTGTAGATGCTAACCTACAGAAAATTTAAGGTAATTTCCATTATCTATACATAGGATAAACATAGAATTTTTCATTCGAATAAGAATATAGAAATTACTTCCTGTGTTGTTTTGTAAGATTAAAATAAACTACGTTAACTAACTACGCTTACAAAAGCATCTACAGCAGTACTTGGTGGTTATTCAGTGGTTTCTCTGTGTCCACTTCTGATAAAACTTTATATTGAGGATGCCAGATATTTTTTTCTCGTTCAGACGATGTCTTCTGATGGTATTTACTTCAGGACAGCGTTCAGGCTATGGAAGCACTCAAGATACGGAAGACGGCCGATACTCTTCTCTTTTGCTACTAAACTCTGTGTCTTGTTTATATATAATAATTCATATTTCTACGTTCGTCAACGACAAACCTATCCACGATGAAATGTCTAACGCGATCATAATAATAATTTTGACTATCGCCGTTGTATTGATGTTGTTTTTTCTTTGCCGTAGAGTAATGTGGATGAATGAAGAAAAACTGTGGTATATCACCGACCAAGTAACATTCATACATCAACAAAAACTTACTTTGTACGGCATCTATCTGCTTGGAATAGGAGTAGTGATATTTTCAATCGTCAAATTTTTGGCAGTAGTTGAATGTCTTTACTACCAATCTAGCATTTACCTTGTGAGAAATTTAACAACTTTAACTTTTGATGCTGGCCGTATAGTTTTTATAGGCGTCCAGGTGGTTTTCTTTCGAGTTTTCAAGGCAGTGAAATTTGTTAGTACGTGCTTCTTTCGTTATAGTCTTGTGCTCATAATCGCTGCTAATGTCGCTTGCTGGTTTCAGATAACAATCGTTGAATCTATGGATCGAATGAACCAAATGAAAGGGCCAGAAAATTCAACCGATTCTTCGAAATGTAATAATTCCCAAAACGATTCTATGAGTTGTAAGTGCTATCATAAAGAAACGGGCATGCTTAAAACTTTAGAAATTGCGAAGTACATATTCATTCCTTTTGTTACCGAATACTCCCTAATAGCAGCTGGGAGTCTCTTTCATTTATGGGGAACACTTAAGATGAAACCTTCCATCGCCGAAAACATCCCAGTTAGAGATAGTAATAGGTCATATGGCAGTATTCAAGCTCAGAATCAGGAACCACTTCGTGAAAACGACTGTCCCTCATCAATTGTAATCGCGTCACTTGTATCGTTAATCTATTTGACGACTTCCGGACTTCTATTTGTAGGGGACTTTTCGGCCATTAGCCAGTCATTGCACTGTGCTGTTGAAATTGTTTACATCTTACACATCTGCGTCGTTGGTTTTGTAGGACTCGAATTGTGTTCATCTCAAAGATACATGAGGGTCGATTCTCTCACTGCAGACGAGATATTACTGATGATTTCCACAGTTGGCCTCTTTTTATATACTTCGTGTACCTTCGCATCCTCTGTTGGGGAACTTTGGATTACCACGTCGGATGACAACAATTCCGTGAAACATCTATTATGCATTATAAATATCGGCCATTCTATAACTGAAACACTGAACGTTTGGGTACAGGTCACGTTTATCATAGCAGCTCATCGACGTAGCCAATCACATCCTCGCTCCGCGAACTCATACCGTCTGCGAGAAATTATTTTGTATCTCGCGATTTGTAATATTACCTGGTGGATAAGCGACAGTTTCGTTGGTACGGTAGTGCCTGGTAAAGAATCTCCAACTGATGCCTCGTATTTTGAATCATGGTGGACTATTTTTCAAACGTTCATGTATCCCGTTCTAGTCTTTTATAGATTTCATTCTTTGCTGATGCTATGTGGTCTATATATCAAATTTGAAACTGTTGGTTTACACACACAATCGACAGGGGCGGATTTCGTAGAGTGTGAGCTGGGCCCACCCCGGCCCCCACGTTTGGAAAGTAACAAAAAAGAAAAAAGAAAGAAAGTAAAGAAAAAAAACATTGATCGCCCAAAACGCCTTAGAGGTTATTTTAGGGCGTCTAGAAAAAAAAAATTTCGGACCCCTAGTTTAGTGTTATATGATCGATCGGCCCAAATTAGGCCCCTTTCGGACATCTCTGGATCCGCCCCTGATCAATGGAAAACTGAATAATAGAAAAGTCCTATGTCAAGTGCAAATTCATAAGGGAATGAGATAAGCGATATATTTGTGTTCGTTAGTACCTTAGTGAAATTGAGCCCCCTTGACGTGACCATTTTTCGGGGACCAAGGTTTCTCTACTGGTTTAGTATCTCTAGGTTATAAATAAAAAATGACCGGGGCGGGGGAACCTCCGGAAAAAGAGCAGAACAATGTTTCAAAAACCTAGAATGGCAGCCATTTTGAAATTCAAGATGGCCACTGTAAATTGGTCAAAAACGAATTAGTATAATTCCACCCAATTGTAAATTGGGTGTTTAATCATTGGGCTCACTGAGCCCATTAAACGTTGTTTCAAACAGCTAGGATGGCAGCCATTTTGAAAATTTTGAAGTTAGCCGCCACAAAAATCATCGAATCGTTTTGGCAATTAATTCCACTTCTCGTTGAAAAATGCTACATTATCTCTTACCATGTTATTGGGCACTATAATTTTAATAGGGTCTAAACATGGTGTGAAAAAGCTAGGATGGCAGCCATTTTGAAATTCAAGATGGCAACCACAAAAATGGTCAAAATAAATATTATTTTTTATTAATAGGCTACACTTGTTTTAATGCTAAATAGGTAGAGAAACCTTGGTCCCAGAAAAATGGACACGGGGGACCCTGATTTTCACTATATTAAATAGGCCTGTCAGAAAAAATTTGGTGTGGTCCGGCACCCCGGCCAAAATCGGTTCGCCGGACAGATTTTGGCTTTAAAAGGTATTGCCAAATATAGTCCACATAAGCCAAAATCGGTCCGGCATTTATTTAGTAGTTATAACCTGTATTTGTTAACGTTGTAAATGCTCATATTTGTTTTTATTCAAATGATAGATAAATATCTCTTTATAACTCTTATAATATTTTTTCATCCGTTATGTATGTAATTGAGTACTTTGTATACAGCCACCAAAATTAATATTTTATTTTCGCGCTTCGCGCCCAGTAAACCTTGTATTTTTTTTTTTTTTGTCTGCTTGCTTTAACGCCGCGACGAAATACATGAGCAGTCATTCCAGTTAAATTACTGACCCCTTTATTTTCATGTAATAGAACAACATTGTATGATCTAATACCCTACACAATATTATGAAATATTTAAAACTAAAATCAGTCTTGGGACTTTTTTATTTTAGGCCCAAACCTAGGCGCGCCTAACTTAGCACGGCGGCCGAAATGATGCATGCTGTGTGTCGCCTGGCCTAGGAAATGCATTATCAGGTGTGTTTGATAAAACACGTCCACAAAAGCTTAATACAATTATTCTGTCACTGCTTAAGATTTTTCAAGTGTGGGAGAAGCATAAATTACTTCCCTCCACTCCACTGGAGAAACAATCATACCCTACGGGCAGCAGACGCGTTACAAGCAAGCGGCCAGGCCGACGGACCAATTTTATCCAAGGGGGACCGTTTTTAGCGGCTATAATCGATCCGGCGGACCGATTTTGGTGGCCAGTTTTTTGCGTGACAGGTCTAATAAGCTCATCACGTTCACCACAAAAACAAGAAATTGTTTTATTTAATACTTTGTGCATGATGTTAAAAAATACAAATATAGAATTATTATGCTCAGTGGGTATAGGCCTATGTGAGGTTGTAGCCTATGCAATCCAATTTGTGGCATGGAGTGCTAAAGTAGCATCAAATTCAACAGGGATTCGTCGATACTGATACTAAACATTAATTTAAAAAATAAATGAATATATAACCGTTCTTCCCCACCTAAAATTTTGTTGAGATGTGACGCTAAACAAGTTTTTTTTTATTTGGCCTTAAATGCGGAAATTAGGTTATATATATATATATATA